AAGAAAAGTTTTGAAAGGAACTTCTAGTCCCAAATAGGGAAATATTAATTTCAAGCTACAATAAATAGTTCAATGAGAAATGGGGTGAGAATCAATTAATCTCAGGGGTACAGGACAAATACCTATACAAGGGTCTGTTTCTAGACTAATACTTTAGAGAATGGTTTTGTAAATGTTTCAAAAGTGGCATTTTAAACCAGTAAGTAAAGGATAAACTAGGTAATAACTAATAGGTTATCTATTTAGAAAAATAAACTTAGACCTTTATATCACATTATAAATTCCAAATGCAGCATAATATTATAAATCTCACTGGTAAAGCTGGAAAAAAACATACATTTCATGGAGTAACTAGAGGCCTGGTGCACAACATTCATGCACTGGAGTGGGGGGGGGGGGGCAGTGGAGTCCCTCAGCCTGGCCTGCACCCTCTCGCAATCCAGGACCCCTTGGGGGATGTCCACCTTAAGCCAGCAGGCGGACATCCCCCAAGGGGTCCTTAGCGCTGCATCAGAGTCGCCAGCCGTGAGCCCAGCTTCTGGCTGAGCAGCACTCCCCCTGTGGAAGCGCACTGACCACTAGGGGGCAGCTCCTATGTTGAGTGTCTGCCCCCTAGTGGTCAGTGCATGTCATAGCGACCAGTCATTTTGCCATTTGGTCAATTTGCATATTAGCCTTTTATTCTATAGGATAATTCAAAAGTAGGCCTTCCTTCCCCTGGCTGCTGGCACTGGCTTCCCTCTGGCACCCAGGACCCGGGCTTCCCTCACAGCCCCGGGTTTGTCCAGAAGGTTGGCCAGAAGGATATCCAGTCTAATTAGCATATTATGCTTTTATTATTATAGACTAGAGACCCGAGGCATGAAATTCGTGCAAGAGTAGGTTTTCCATGCCCTAGCTCAGTGGTTGGCAAACCGCGGCTTGCGAGCCATATGCGGCTCTTTGGCCCCTTGAGTGTGGCTCTCCCACAAAATACTACATGCGGGCGCGCACGTACAGTGCGAAGTTGACTTAAAACTTTAAGTAAAGTTTATTAAGTTAATTTTAGGGAACGTTGTGGAGTGAAAGAAGATGTAGTGTCGAGGACTGAGGAAGGTATGTTGAGATGGCTTGGACATATAGAGAGCTTGAACGAAAGGAGGTAGACGAAACAAGTATACAAGACGAGTGTGGATTGGAGAATTGGAAGGGGTCCACCTCAGCGAATGTACCTCAATCTGATTGAGGACGTTTTTAGCAAAGGCCAGCTTAGGAGCACCCTAATTAAGTTCATAACAATGTACCTACCTATACAGTTTAAGTTTAAAAAATTTGGCTCTCAGAAGAAATTTCAATGGTTGTACTGTTCATATTTGGCTCTGATGACTAATGAGTTTGCCGACCACTGCCCTAGCTGGTTTGGCTTGGTGGACAGAGCATCAGCTGCAAACTGAAAGGTCCCAGTTCAATTCTAGTCTAGGGCACTTGCCCGGATTGTGGGCTCGATCCCCAGTAGGGGGCATGCAGAAGGCAGCCAATCAATGATTCTCTCTCATCATTGATGTTTCTATCTCTCTCTCCCTCTTCTTTCCTATCTGAAATCAATAAAAATATGTTTATTTAAAAAAAAAAAAAAAAAAAAAAAGGTCTTCCTTCCCTTGGCTGCTGGCACCGGCTTCCCTCTGGCACCCGGGACCAGGCTTCCCTCGCAGCCCCAGCTTTGTCTGGAAGGTTGTCTGAAAGGACGTCCGGTCTAATTAGCATATTACACTTTTATTATTATAGATAATTCAAAATATCATCAAATGACAAATTATTAAGTTTCAAAAAAAATCCAAGGTTAAAATTTAAAAACCATTAAATGAAATTTATAAAACTATAAAACTGATTTGGGGTGGATAGGCACTCTAAGCATAAAAAAAACCATTTAAAAAGACAAAAAGTTGCCCCAGCCGGCTTGGCTCAGTGGATAGAGCATTGGCCTGCGGACTGAAAGGTCCCAGGTTCGGTTCCAGCCAAGGGCACATGCCTGGGTTGCGGGCTCCATCCCCAGTGTGGGGTGTGCAGGAGGCAGCCAATCAATGATTCTCTCTCATCATTGATGTTTCTATCTCTCTCCTTCTCCCTTCCTCTCTGAAATCAATAAAGGAATATATTTAAAAAAAAAAAAAAAAGACAAAAAGTTGACAATAGACCTTTAAAATAAATTTCTACACAGAAAATTAAGAAACCATAACATATATATCTCACACTATAAATATAGTTATCATACAAGAAAATAGTTCAAAGGCCAGAAACCAACAGGGAACACGTTTGCCATGTACAGCAGCTAGAAGGTTGAGAGACTTCATATATGGTGTGTCTTACAATCCCCAAGATATAACAACCTGATAGGAAAAAGTGCAAAGGACAGAACAAAACTGATGGAGAAATAAAAAAGATCAAATATCCAATCATATTAGCAATGACAGAAATGCTAGTTTAACATTAAGTTCTATGCTTCACTAATCAGATGAAAAATAACAGTGCCCAATCCTGGGAGACAGTGAAATGCACCACACGTAGATGGGTACAGTCTTGAGAAGGCACCGTGGTAAATGTATCAAAAGCCTTACTCAGATCCTCTGACTCAGGAACCCTGGTTCCACTTCTAAAGTCTGTATCTGGCACCCAGGACCCGGGCTTCCTTCCAGGAAGTAAATAAATAATCAACATTTCACACAGAGACAAGTGAAAACTGCGTCCTTACTGTGACACTGGACAACAACCGTAAAATACAATACTGTGCAGCCAGCCCAAAAACGTACATTCTCAAAGCATGTCTAACGACATGAGAAATTCCACAAACAGCCCCGCAGGGTGACTCACCCCACGCACCAAAGGCTGAGGGCTGGATTCCCGGTCAGGGTACGTACCCAGGTTGAGGGTTCAATGCCTGGTCTAGGCACATATGGGAGTCAACAGATGATGTCTCTCTCTCAAATCAATAAAAACATATCCTCGGTAAGGATTTTTTAAAAAGGAAACGAAGTTCACAAATGGAGTAAAATAAGAAAACAGGGACCCATGTCTGTAGCAGGATCATAATTGTCAAAGATGCATGTCCAAATATGCAGAGACAAGGTTAGCAGTGGTTCTCAAGTACGATTAGAGATTTTGATTTTATTTTTCCTCCAATTTTCCTCCTTCTACTTTTCTAAATCATCCAAAAAACTTAAAGAACAGGTATTATTTTTAATCAGGAAAATGTCGCTTAAAAAATCCAAAGTAAACACACTGATTTCAAATTAACACAGGATGGTAAGACCAAGCGGCAGCTCTCTTCCCCCTCCTTTACCTTACCCGTGTTGAGCAAAGGGTAAACTCTTAAAATCCTGGTATGTTGACTGTCCAAAGTTGACTGATTAAAGGCGGAAGGGGGTGGAGAGAAGGTGGGGGAAGCAGGAGGCAGTGTGCTCAGCCCTCTCCCTCCTCAGCACCACAGGAAGGGCCAACAATGAGAACCGCCTCAGAGCGCGTGCTCTGTAACCCCCCCCCCCCCCCCCAGGTCTTCTTGCTACATCCAGGCCAGACAGCAAAGCAGCTGCTCAGAGGGACACAAGTGTGACCTTCCGTGGGAGAAAGGACAGAGGCGAAGCCCTTCCCAAACAAGCGCGGATCAGAGGAGCTGCCCCGAGGCCTCGGCACCGGCCGCGAGTGGCCACCGCCTGGGCAGAGGGAGCGCAAACCTCGCTGACCGAGCGTGGCTTCACTGACGCCACAGGGCTACCCACAGGGATGAGCATGTCCTTCCACTGAGACACCTGCTAATTCTGCCTGGTCCCGGCCCGGACGCTGGCTCATCAGGTTGGACTTCCACCCCGGCTGGCTTCCCAAGGAGGAGTCCAAGTTCCACAGAGAGGAGCAGGCTGCTGAGGCGCACCGCTAGCACACCAGCTCCCGCAACTGCCACCCCAGAAACCACTGTGTCCCCTGCCCCTACAGCTCCCCCGCAACCGGCCACCCCCAGAAACCGCTGTGTCCCTTCCCCTACAGCTCCCGGGCAACCGCCACCCCAGAAACTGCTGTGTCCCCTGCCCCTACAGCTCCCCACAACCAGCCACCCCCAGAAACCACTGTGTCCCCTGCCCCTACAGCTCCCTGGCAACCGGCCACCCCCAGAAACCGCTGTGTCCCCTGCCCCTCTGCTCTACCCATGCAAAACTGAGGGGCAATTAACCTACTTAGGTGACCCAGGAAGCATGCAGTAAACACATACATACAATCACAGAGAAACCACAAAAATGCCACCGTCAGAACACTGATCCATGTGTCCTGATAAAGGGAGCCAGACATCACAGAGAAGCCACTGTCATCTCAGGCGCTCACACACTTTCATTCCTTTAAACGTCACAAAATTAAACTTCCCGTTCACACATGGAAACACGGAGGCTCGGAGAAAAAGAAAAGGCAGCTCAAAGTCACAGAATAGGAAATGCGGACCTTGGAATTGGAACTTCAGGGCCCATGCCATTTCTCTCAGGACGCAGGAGACGTCCTGATCCTGTCGCCACAGAGGACTCCTGTCTGGCCCTGTGGGATCAGCCCCACGCTGCGTTAGGCCAGGGCCAGCCTTCCCGCCGCTGCAGCTCCGGACCCATGACAGAGACAGTCTACCCAACAGCTTAATCTCGGTCCAGGAAAGGACATCAGCCGGGGTCACAGTAACCAGTAATTATAACAATGGCTGCAATCACTAAGCATCTGCCCTGTGGAGGGCCTGCCCTAGGAATGTTACCCATATTTGGCCTGAGTAACAACAGAGTTGATGTGTCCATTTTTCAGATGAAAACACAGAGGCTCCACAAAGTCTCACAGCAGGAAATGGAATCAATCAGCTACCACAGCCTCCTTCCTAAACTCCACCTCTCCTGCTGTGACAAGATAATGAAACCCAAATCGGTGGTTTCGGTCAACGCCCCCTCCTCTGGGCAGTCTGCCCAGCCCCCGAATCCGCCCAGGCCCAGGGCTCCAGCCACTACCTTGGTTGAGGTAGGTCAGTGTCTCTTCATGCAGCTTCACGGCTGGGGACGTGGCAGCACACAGCACGTACTGCAGGGGTGGCAGGCGGGCCTCGTTCTCAGGGGACAGCTGGGGCTCCTCCTGCTTGAAGATGGGCAGCGCAAGCACATCACTGCAACACAAAGAGGGGGGCGTCAGGAGCAAGGCCGGCCGCGCTGGGAGAAGCGGATGCAGACCGCGTCCTCAAGGGCAGCCCAGCAAAGCACAGGGCCGAGAGCTGGGTCAGCTTCCCAGGCCTCACAGCGCAAATACTTTCTGAAAGAGCAAACCAACCTGCGATGACTCTACTTTCTCTCAATGACCCGCAGGAGATCTATTCAATCAAATCATTAACGAGGAAAAAAATGCAAAGTCATCTAATGCTGCAAATTACAGAAATCTCTGTGACAATGGGACTCCCAGCAATGGAGTGAACCTTAGATGCCATTTGGTTTCCACCCATAAGAAAGACATTACAAAGTCTTGCTTTTAGAATACAACTCTGAACAAATATTTTAATGGCTTAAATAAACTATTCTATTTATTGGCCACTTCTCAGAATAATACAGCCCTGTCCTTGGGGCTCTGAAAATACAGAAACTGCCGAGACATCCCGCCACCCTTTAAAAATAAAAAGGACCGCTGGCCCATAACCCCTATGTTAACGGTCATGCTAGTACCTCCTAAATCCAAAACAAGAAGGAAGGACCTTGATTTCAATTCGGTTTTCTTATCCAAACGGTAAATGGGAAGATGCTCAACGATTCTTTTCCTCCACTTCTGAACCAAAATCCTCGCCATATCCCAAAAAAATCAGCCCCACATCAGCGTATGCCTGGAGAATCTACTTCTAGATGTATTTTTAAATGCCCTTGCAAATTGGAAAGAAATCCTTGAGAACATGAGTGACCTGTGGGCAGACCTGTTTAAGGCGTCCACATTATGAGCAGCACAGGAACAGGTGCCAGAGAAGTGCCAGTGCCCTTATCTTGATAACGCGCCCCCCCCTCCCCCCGTGTGCAGGGCTCTGAATCAGATTCCCCGGGCCCGCTGCGCTGTATAAACAGCAGTCACTGGTACACTCTGTTCCTCATACAGCACAATAAACGCATGTCTCTAAAGCACAACCCAGCACACACCCAACAATGTCTAACAATTCTCAGAAGGAAAGTCAGGCTTGGAGCACCTGGAGCGCGGCCCGCGGTCCGCACCCTCCTCTCCAGGCGGCGGCCCCAGTGGTGTCTAGGAACAGAGGAAGAGCAGCAAGCCTGCTCACCTGGGGATCGCATAATAATTTCATGTTCGCCCAAACCATGGAGGTTAATAATCCACGGGCCGCTGCGTTTAAACACAAAAAGGGGGCGGGGGTAAGAACCATCTCTCAACAGTCACTCGTTTCAAGCCTGGCATCCTTATTTGCCAAGGAATAAAGTCACGGGAACACCAAACAGAAAAGGCAAAGGAGACAAGGCCACTGCCTGGTAAAGTCAAACCACTTGTCGTCTGCAGGGTGGAGGGAGGCAGCCAAACATAAAACAGGAAAGCCCGGGAAAAAGGCAAGACCCTCACTCCAGAGTTGGGGGGACGAGGGAATACTCACGACCCCTCACCTTGGCCTTCATTGAGGTCAACTTCTACCAGGTGAAAACGCCAGCTTCCAAAAGTGAAATTTTTAAAAAAGGGCAGGGCCCCAGCCCATTTGGCTCAGTGCATAGAGTGTCAGCCATCTGACTGAAGGGTCCCAGGTTTGATTCCGATCAAGGGCACATACCTTGGTTGCAGGCTCGATCCCTGGCCCGGGTCGGGGCATGTGCGGGAGGCAACCTCTCGGTGTATCCCTCTCACATCGATGTTTCTCGTTCTCTTTCCCAGCCTTCCACTCTCTTAAAAAACCAATGGAAAAATATCCTCGGGTGAGGATTAACAAAAAAAATTTTAAATGGCATGGATATGGTTGGTGTGCTCAGTGATCAGAGTGTCAGCCTGTGCACTGAAGGGTCATGGGTTCAATTCCCCATCAAGGACACTACCTGGGTTGCAGGTTCAATCCCTGACCACCCTAGGGGCACATGCAGGAGGCAACCAATCAGTGTCTCTCCCACATCCATGTTTCTCTCTCTCTCCCTCCCTCTCTTCCTTCCATTCTCTCTAAAAATCAATAGAAAAAAAAAATCCTCAGGATTAACAAAAAAAAAAATTTTTAAGGGGGCATGGACCAAATGCTTCTTTATCCATGGACCCAAAATGACCCCAGAAATCAATATGGCTTTATAGCTCCTTTTACCCCAATCCCCCCATCCCCAATACCAAAATCCTAAAAGGTACCTCAGGTACCCCAAAGACAAATTTCCATCTTAGTAGCAGAGGCACCTCCCATGCACAGGGAATTATTCCGTAATGGGATGACATTTTAGGTATCCGGGAAGATTTAAAAACATTCACCCTCCATTCAAGGTCACCTTCAAAATCATTTTTAAGGTATGGCACATGCTTAACGGCCACAAACTAAAACTCGGGCAAAACTATGCCTAAAGCTGCATCATGCAGTAATAAAAAAATGCTGTAACATTTTGTAAGTGAATGGGCGCTTACTCTTCGCCAGGGATGAACATCCGCCGGGGGCTGCACAAGTCCCCCAGAGCGGCTTCTCTGGTGACACCACAAGGTTTCGGACAGAGCCGTCAGTCCTTCATTAAGACCCCAGACTCATGCCATCTCCCATTACTCTGGCCATGAGTAAAACCAGCAGACATCAACTCAGCCATTCCTTCGCCTTCTAGAAGGGGTGTCTACAAGGAGGGCTATTGGACTAATGTCTGTCAGAAACAGATTCACAAATAAATCGGCATGGAAACTTTGAGGGGGAAAAAAGAAAGAAAAAGACCCTCCCGGTGGCTCTCACTGTGGGGCCTCACTGCTCATGTTCTCTGCTCCCGCGCCAAGTCCCGTTTGGGTTTAAACCCGGTACTTTCATAAACTGTGACTAGGATGGAAACAAGACTGGCGAAAGCTGGATCGGGCAAGCTCGGAAAATGAAATGAGCACAACAGTGGTCAACAGTCCTCCCGGGAGGGACGCCAACGGGGTCCCACTGCCTGGGGGCAGAGGGGAACTCCGCACACAGGCAGGACTCACTTCCCTCTGAAGAGCACACGTCAAAGAAGGAAGATGCCCTCAAGGCCAGAGACGGGCGGGCCTCGGGCGAACGCGCGCAAGGACACCTGCAGCGAGGGGGCCACCGGCCCGCCCGAGCCCCCGCCGGCGCCCGCGAGGCTCAGGTGCAGGGCGGCGCGCGCCGCTCACTCACTCGCCCCTCGGCCGGACCAAGGACGCTGGAGGGGGCCCGGGGGGCCGGGAGGCTGGAGAGGGGGCTGGGGGGCCGAGAGGCAGTAGAGGGGTTCGGGAGGAGAGCGGGCTGGGAGGACAGGGGCGAAGAGCAGACTAGACTCCCCGGGGCGGGGGGCAGCCCCCCGACGCCAGGGGAAGGAGCCGGGGGCAGGCGCACGGAGGTGGCTGAGGCCGGCAGGTGCGCGCCCCACGCCCGGGGTCGTTAGGGGCGGTGCCCTCCCGGGCACCAGGCACCAGACTCTGCCGGCCGGGCCCCCGACACCGCGCGCCCGTCCCGCCGGCGTCCGTGCGTCCCGACGCAGGCTGGGCGCTGCTGTCTCAAGTCCGCCAAGGGCGGAGAGCGGGAATCGGGGCGCGGCGGGGGGAACCCGTGCCCGGAGCTCCCCGCCCCCCGCCCCGCCGCCGCGGGCCTCACCGCAGGTAGCCGCCGGAGCCGTGCTGGTTGTAGTGCTCGGGCTGCGTGTGCCAGAACAGCATGGCTGGAGCCCGACGCCGCCGCGCCTCCCGCTCGGTCACCTGAACGCGCTCCGGGCGCAGCGCCGGCCCTGCCCGCGCCTTTATGGACGGCCCGCGGGGCGGGGCTGCGCCGACCCGCCCGGGCCCCGCCCCGCACCTGGCAGGTCCGCGCCCGCGCGCCCTTCCCCGGAGCGAAGGTGCGGGCGGACGGACGGCCGCGGGACTGGAGTGGCTGGCGCGTCACCCCAACCGGAGCCCCGATGGCCGCCCGCACCTCCTCCGCGCTCAGCGCAGGGCCCGGAGCGGCCCCGCGGGGGAAGAGAGGCCGCTCTGAGCACGAAGTCAGGGCCGAGATCCAGGCACCCTCCGCTCCCCCCGCGCCCTGTGCATTCAGCACTTTACACTCTGAGCTCGTGGTGTTTTCCTTTTAGTTGTGTGTTGATCTCCTCCTAGAATGTGAGCTCCACGAGGCAAGGCCTGGACTCACTCGCCCTGTTAGCTCCGCTGCCTAGAAAAGTGCTTTGGGACATGGTAAGTGCTCATGGGTATTCGTTGAATAAATGTGAGAAAAGGGATGGTCCAGTGAGTCATCAGTCACTGGGAGGAGGTGGCATTGAGCTGAGGACGAATCTCTAGGAGCATCTGGAGGGAAAGAGGTTCCAGGCAGAGGCAACAGCGATCAATCGCCAAGGCCCCAGAACAGACCCCTGAGCATGGCTGGGCTGGGTGACCAGAGCGAGAGAGAGGGGGCTGAGGTGGGAGAGGCAGGCAGGACGGGCCCTAGGGGGCCCAGCAGAACCTGCCAGGAGCTGGGGTTATGTTCCCGGTGTCTTAAGCAGAGGAGCTGCATATCTGATGTGCCTTTGGGAAAGATCAATTTGGAAGGAGTGTGGACAGAGGGTCGTAATGGAGGTCAGTTAGGAGGGAGTGGAGGTCAAACAACCATAACACCAAGTTCTGTCCCTGCGTGTTAATCAAAGGAAATGAAGTCGCATGGAGACCTGGGCCCAGAATCCCCCGCTCCCCTCTCTGTTCTCTCAGCTCCCCTCCCTCCAGCCACAGCTGCAAGACACTTACCCTGAGTAGCTCCAAGGACTACTACCCGCCCCTGCTCTTCTGCCCCTTGCGGACAATGAAAATGTGCAGCTCAGTTCCCCGTCAAGGAGGGACTTGCTGCAGTCGCCACAGGGAGCACTGAGCAGCCAGCACTCCGCCCCCAGCGCTGCTGGGACTGCCTCTGCTCCCGGAGCCACTATCAAGGCCCGAGTACTAAGAGTCTGACCCTGCCCCGCTGGCCGGCGTGGCTGGGAGGTTGAGTGTCTACCTATGAACCAGGAGGTCACAGTTTGATCCCCAGTCAGAGCATATGTCCAGTTGCTGCTCCATCCCCAGTGTGGGCGTGCAGGAAGCAGCTGATCAATGATTCTTTATCATCATTGATGCTTACATCTCTCTCCCTCTTCCTTCCTCTCTGAAACCAATAAAAACATGTTTTTAAAAAAGCGTCTGGCCCTCTCAGCAGATAGGCTGCTTTAGCCCAGGACCCCACATGCACCGGTTGCAGTTGCTGGAGGGTGGCGTTCCCTCCGTCTGATCCGCCCCTGTTTTCCTCTCGTCCCCTGCACAGGTGTTAATCTCAGGGGAACTTCCTAATGAGCATCCTGAACACTAATCTTCGTCTCAGGGTCCGTGCCAGCACCACATGTAGACGGGAGGCACTCTGGGATGGTGGGTTCTCGCTTCAGCAGCGTAGTAGCTGCATCAGGGAGGGAGCTGGAGAGTAAGGTTTCCTCCCAAGCAGCGGTCGGGGGGGGGGGGGGGGGGCTCTTAGTGAGGCTGCCTGAGCGATGGGTCGGCCCCCGGGTCTCCCCACATAGGGGTCACTGCGGAAGCCCCCGAGGGCCAAAATCCAGGAGCGCTTCCTCCCGTGCTTTCATCTGTGCACACGCTTCCTCTTCTGCCTCTGGGCTGACGAGAATCCCGTCCCAACACAGACTGGATGTGGCTGGAGCAGTGCACGTCCATTTCGGGACTTGGTTGTAGTGCTCGGGCTGCGTGTGCCAGAACAGCACACGGGACACTCACCGTGGGGAGAAGAGCAGGGGCTCATTTTCCTCTTGGTGCTGCCTGTGCTCTTGCCTCCGGCCATGGTCTTTGTTGCTGGGACTCGAGATGAAAAATGAAGACAGTTGCTGATTCTTCAGGTTTTGAGCCCTATGTTTTCTGCATCCCATTGCCCAATCCCGTGGCCTTTCTTCCCCCCTGCACCCTCCGTCTGGTGGCTCTGAGGCACTGGAGGTGGGAGGCAGTCTGGACCCCTTCCTGCCTGCATGCCACCCTCCTGCTCTCCCCTGGTCCTCATCTCCCAAGCCCCCAGCTCTAGGCACAGAGCGGAGAGGGTGGTTTGGGTGGGTGAACGGGAGCCTAAGGACGGCCCAAGTGGGGAAGGGGTCTCAGAAGGAAAAGCATGCATACATATGTTTATCGCAGTATCCTCTCTAATAAAAGAGAAACATGGTAATTAGCGTACGTCCGCTACCCTTCCCATTGGCTAATCAGCGAGATATGCAAATTAACTGCCAGCCAAGATGGCGGCCGGCAGCCAGGCAGCTTGAAACTAACATGAGGCTTGCTTGCTTCAGTGACGGAGGAAACCAACGTTCCCTGCCTGCCTTGCCAGCCTCTGAGCTTGCAGTTTGAAACATAGTTACAAATATAGAAGCTAAACAAAACCCCAGAAACCTGCTTTCAGCAAGCCGGGATCTCAGAGCTGGAGTTATACATTGTTTCGATTATAGAACCCAAACAAACCAGATACCTGCTTTCAGCAGCAGAGGCCTCAGAGCTGGAGCCAGGGCTAAAGCTGTCCCAGAATAAAAAGAAAAAAAGGAGTGATTGGGAGCTTCAGTCACCTGCCAGCCTGAAAACAGCCCTCAGCCCCTCACCCAGACTGGCCAGGCACCCCAGTGGGGACCCCCACCCTGAAGGGTGTATGACCAGCTGCAAACAGCCATCATCCCCTCACCCAGGCTGGCCAGGCACCCCAGTGTGGACCCCCACCCTGATCCAGGACACCCTCAGGGCAAACCAGCCGGCCCCCACCCGTGCACCAGGCCTCTATCCTATATAGTAAAAGGGTAATATGCCTCCCAGCACCGGGATCAGCGGAGCCGCAAGGCCTCCCGGCACCGGGATTACTGTGACAGGGGGCAGCGCCCAAACCCCCTGATCGCCCTGCGGCTCTGTGTGTGACAGGGGGCGGGGCCACAACCTCCCTATCCGCCCTGCTCTGTGCCTGATAGGGGGAAGCTCGCCAACCCCCTGATCGTCCTGTGGCTCTGTGTGTGACAGGGTGAGGCACCCCAACCACTCCCCCGCCACGGGCCCTGCTCTGTGTGTGATGGGGTAGAGCCATAACCTCCCCATCGGCCCTGCCCTGAGTGTGACAGTGGTAGCGCCCCAACCCCCATATCAGCCCTGCTCTGTGGGTGATAGAGGGTGGCGCCCCAACCCCCCCTCCACAGGCCCTGCTCTGTGTGTGATGGGGTAGAGCCATAACCTCCCCATCGGCCCTGCCCTGAGTGTGATAGTGGTGGTGCCCCAACCCCCTGATTGGCCCTGCTCTGTGGGTGATAGAGGGCGGTGCCCCAACCCCCTGATCCACCCTGCTCTGTGCGTGACAGGGGCGAGCTCCCCAACCCCCTGATGGGCCCTGCTCTGTGCGTGACAGGGGGCAGCGCCTCAACCTCCTGATTGGCCCTGCTCTGTGCGTGACAGGGTATGGAGCCCCAACCCCCCTGATGGGCCCTGCTCTGTGCATGACAGGGGGCAGCGCCCCAACCCCTGATTGGCCCTGCTCTGTGCGTGACAGGGGATGGCGTCGCAACCTCCCCATCGACCCTGCCTTGAGTGTGACAAGGGGCAGTGCCCCAACCCCCCATTCAGCCCTACCCTGAGTGTGACTAAGGGTGGCATCGCAACCTCCCGATCCGCCCTGCTCTGTGCATGGCAGGGAGCGGTGCCCCAACTCCCCAATTGGCCCTGCTCTGAACCCGACCAGGGGCTGCACCTAGGGATTGGGCCTGCCCTCTGCCAGCCGGTCGTTATCTCCCGATGGGGTCCCAGACTGCAAGAGGGCACAGGCCAGGCTGAGGGCCCCCCTCCCCCCCAAGTGCACAAATTTTTGTGCACCAGGCCTCTAGTTGTCTATAATTGTGAAAACTAGAGGCAAACTGTATGTCCATCAGTAGTAGGCTAGATCCTCAGCTGTGGTCTGGCCACACAATGGAATCCTCTATAAGCATGAAACTGATTAGAGCTACTTGGCTGAACTCACAGACAAGGCTGAGCAAAGAAAAGCAACCTGCTGGTTGCACACTGTGTGATACTGCTTTATGCTAAGGTTAGAACATGCGAAACAACACTAAATATTGTCCAGGGTGCTTGCCCGTGTGGCTAGGAGGTGACACACACAATGGCTTCCCTCTGGGAGGAGCTCGCCGTCCTTCCCTGCGTGTGGCCTGGGAGAGGAGAGAAGGGCCCTGGCTGCCCTGCTCCAGCATCAAGTACAACGGGCTTTGCCTGGAGAGGATGAGGCCCCTTCTGAAAAGGCAGGTGTGGATGCTCCCAGAAGGTAGCAAGCAGCTCACATCTACCCAGATACCATGTCCCTTCCTGGGACAGGCTGTGCCCTGTTCCCTGGTGTCCGCTGCCCAGGGCCCACCCATGAGGATGGACTGTTTGGTTGGAGGTAAGTGGAAAGAGGGTGGAGGGCCTCAACAATGTCTAATCCTGAAAAGCTGTCTGTTTTCCTCACTCGGATTCCCTGAAGGGGAAGGAACTTACATCCCAGCTGTTATTTTTGGAATACCTGCTCCGGCTGGGCACCCACAGTAGCCCTGGGAGGTGGGGCTTGAATGCCCATTTGCGGGTGGGAAAGCTGAGGTCAACAGAGGAAGCCAGCTGCTGAAATGTGTAAGGCCACAGAGGGAAGGAAGAGGGCCGGGAGGGGGGAAGAGGTACCTGCCTGTCCACCGTCCCCAGAGAAATGCCCCCCGCCCCAGCCCCTGGCACTTTCCCCTGCCCCCC